TTCACTGCATTTAATAAATCTGTCATTTAATTACTATCAGCCTGAATAGTTCGCCTTCTTTGTGTAGCTTCGGTAATCCGTAGGCTGTTGGTTGTCGCGCATCCCTTGATGTGATTGACTTTCTTGTCCATGAGTCAATTTCCCCGTTCATATTCATATCTTTCAGCATGTCACGTAAGCTTCCATTGCTTTTCATAGTTGGGACCTTCTTTAGTACACGATATTTAGTCCTTTCTCGCAGAATACATTCAATCTTCTCGGTATCTTGTATTCTGTCCGTTATCACTGTTTCTCCTCCTTTATCCCCCAGAAGGACTAATTTTTCATTCATTTCTAGGATCTTCTGTATCCCGGTGCTCTGTGCTGGTTCATAAAATGCGAAAGTCTTTGGAATTATTTCCATCTCTATTTTCCATTTTATTTCCTTAAAGGACTTGTCCGAGATTTTGATAATCTCAACTAGGATGTCTATTAGAACGCTTCTGTCATTTTGAAGTGGAAAGTTGAGTTTTGTCTCGGGTTTAAGATGAAGTGCTGATAAATTCACTTGTTTCTCATGATCTTCATGCTGGTCAATATGTGTTGTCACATCGGAATCCACTCCAAATGGACGCATTGGCTTTAACTTACTGCGACCATACCGAGGACCACCTTATCTTGGTCTTTATAGCGTCTATTCGGTAATTTTATTACTGAGATACAATTACCAAGGGTAGGGACTACGGGAATCAGAATTATGTTAAGCATTAGCATGCATAATTTAACCATACACTAGACCCATGCTCTAATACAAAGAACAGGACTGTATAGCCTCAAAGTCATCGTCATCTTATCGAGTGAAGACGATGCATGTATCAACGCTTAACGTTGACTCGGAAGCTAGCATAAACGAAGTGATAATAACCAATTGACGTACATTTATTAGCTCAAACGACGAGCCGATTTTGCTGTGACGCACATTGCTATGGCAAAGGCTGCATGTGACTAGTGAAAAATAGGGGGTGGGGGTTGGAGAGAAAAACAGTCGGCAATCCTTACCTGATGTCTTGGGGCATGAGAAGCTCTAATCAAGACTGGCAATGTGTTAACAGGCCACGTTTTCTAATATGAGATGTATTCACCATATTTTGTTTAAGGTAATGAAGGACTGACTGGTGGTTCATTTTTCCCACAATGTTATGAGTAAAGCTGATGTTTTCCATTTAATTTCGCATAGCCTTGCTTTCCCAAAAGGTGTTCTCATCCAGGCAGGAGTGGACTGCAGCTTCGGCCTCGCCTAAGTCTTATCAACACCTCCAGCGGGAGTCGAAGCATGACATTCAATGAAAACGCCAGCTCTACTCATATCATTGTGGCAAAATTCAACTACCAGTCCTTCATGACCTAAAACGAAATAGAATGAATACATCTGATATGAATGCTTTATCAGTAGTCTCGAAACGCTACTCATGAACGAGAAACAAATTTTATGGTTTTGTTAATTTTATTCATCATGGAGTCACCTCATTATAGGATAGTTGAAAAAGCACTGTTTTCTGCCAGCCCCATCTGAATCGCTGCCGAGACAGAGGCCAGTCCCAGCTTAGTAAATTTTCAATGAAGGCATTATTCAACCAGAATTTGCGTCACTTTACGTCGCTCAAAGTGAAAAAACGACTGCAAGTGGAAGTCACTCACAATGCTTTGGATCGGCCTCAATGTCGTTAGGCTTGACATAGCTCTGCCTCACAAAATTTGTCTCATTCAGACTGGATTGCAATTTAGATTTCGCACCTCCAATGGAACGCGAAACTGGGTCGTACGCCTCGTAGTGACACGCTCCTCAAATGTCGTTGCGTCGCATGTATTGAAGGCGAACAAGGCCTCTCCCAACTTACATTTTTAAGGAGAGATTTTTGATAAGTCAAACCACTAAAATCGACGACATCGTTTATCTTTGCCTCGAGTATACTTCAAAACTGATAGCACCGTTTGTATAGGAACATAAGCAAACTTTAATGGCAATGTGGGTTTGGCTCATATATTTGTAGAAAAATTGCATCATCAGTCCCTAAATTAACCAAGTTCTAATTCAGGCATCCTCTGTTGTGAGTTATCCGTGTTTTTATCTTCTTCACCACTTCGAATGAAAGTCGGACATTTCATCACAACTTATCCTCATATATTTGTTTAAGAACTTCATTCACCCTATTTCGGTTAAGGATGGAGGACTGATAGTTGAATTTTCCCACGATAAAATGAGTAGGAGGGGCTCATTTTTCCATAGAATTTCACATGACCTTGCTTCCGAAATGGCATTCTTGTTCAGGCTGGGGCGGACTGCCGTTTCATCTTGCAATTCCAATGGGACTTGAACATGACAGTGCAGCGTATAATCTCTACATCCTAATTCCTACGCAACATTACAACGAGTTTTCTTGGGTCAGAGGGCATATAGCAATTTCAAAGAAGGCCAGATATCTTTTAACATATCACATTCTGTGGTTGGATTGTCGATGAAACAAAGTTGTATTCTCTGTAGCAATTGTCTACGTCAATTATTTTTAGTTTTATGTGTAGGTTTCTGATACAATCATATGAGGTGTATTCACCCTATTTCGTTCAAGGTGATAGGGGGACTGGTAGTTGAATTGTCACTTGGAAAGAAATAGGATGAATACATTTCATTTATATAATCTACTGGTAGTTTCGATAACCTGTTTATAAAAAGAATCATTTTAACTAATCGTTGAACCAAGGCTATCTGAATAGCCATAAACTCAACAGGACAAAGGAAAATTTCACCTGGTGAGTTAGTCCGCCAACAAGGATACAGATTGTAGTGCTAGAAAGGATTAGCCCAAAGGCGGCTGGTTCCAGGTTAACTATCTCCTGCGAAGTCTTTCATTCAGTCGAGTTTCCAATTCTAGATCATACCAAGTGAATCAGTGAAACGAATTAGATCAGCTTATCCACTCAGATTTCTAGTTCAACTCAAAAGTGCCGATGTAGTTCGCTTTACATCAGAACCCAGCGTAGGTGCATTAAGACTTGGGGAGATCTTCTTGTAGGCCGTTCTATAGGTATCAACGCAGTAAGTTTAATGGTAGGGGCAGCGACAGTAAGTATACTCCTCGAAGATACTCAATAAGACGGCTTGTTTGCAAAAACGAGTAAGTGGCCGTCATTTGGTTCAGACAAACCAGCGAAGCCGTAAAGTTGATGCGATTTCTGTCGGTCCGTGACTATCGTCAGACTGGCCCATCGTCCTTTCCAGACTTCAGGAAAAAACGAAAGTAGTGCTGACGGTACTATGAGATCGCCACTTTTGAACCCAAATCCTGCCACAATACAGCCCGAAAATGACAATGCGAAGCTCAGATTCAGTTGAAAAATAAGTCAAAACTTCTCTTGTACTGCAATCCGACTGCATGCATGCCTCCAATTCACACTTTCCAACATACTCAGCCAAGAGAATAAAAGAAAAGGCTGTTCAAGCGATAGCTCTTGAGCTAGGGATTCGGGTTCTGCTGTAGTGGGTGGGGTACGATAGATCTTTAAGTTTCATTACGCCATCTGTGTCCCCTAGGTTGAGTGAATTTTGAGCTATATGCCGGTCTGTATATATATATATATATATAACTATTTATTTATGTATGCATGGGTCCATATAAATGTGTATAATTGTGACTGTGAAAGTGAGAACGGGCCAGAGAACAAGTGTCTTTGAGGCCTTGGTCAAGGCATCCTCAGCAAGGGGGTGCTCTTTTTTTGCAAGCCCAGCAACCAGAATGCGTGAAGAGATTTTGCTTGTATATGTACACGGGTGGGGGACATCACTTATGCTAGGTAATGTGACATAACTCGTTCGTTAAGGCAGATCGGTTCTCAACTCTTCATTTGCAAAACGGAACAACCAACACGGACAATTGACCGTCCTTTGTTGCGACACATGCTATGGAAATGGATTGTGGTTCATTGGGTCGAGAGAACACCTCCAGAGACAAGTTATGTGGGCGTCTACCTGTTGCATTGCTTGAATGTGCACATGTGTCCAGGGTAACAGGTGTATGTGTATGTATGTATGTATGTATGTATGTATGTATGTATGTATGTATGTATG